CTTCCTACCATTTCCGTACAAAACGTACGGACAAACGTCAAACCAACCATTTCGTGCACGGATCGATGTCAAGAAGGTAAAATTCGAACTCCTTGCAAGTCTCTGAGTTTATTTATAACATTTTTAGATCTTAAAACCTTCAAATATCCCGAGAACTCGAACCCCAGATTTCATGCACTAATTAATGTGAGGTTTTTAGGAGTTTTTAAGGGCATAGGAAGCTTTAGATTGTCTTCACGAAGCTCGGAGAAGAAAAATGAAGTGATTTGGATGTCGGAAAGTTGAGTTTCAACGAGTTGCAGGTTTAGCCGGAATATCGAAGGATTTTCCGGCAAGTTTCGTTGGTTTTAGGACTTTTGAAAGCTAAGGTTTTGTTCTACTTGTCCTAAGCTTCAAATTTGTTCAAGTTTCGTGGAATTTGGTTGAGATTTGGACAAGATATGAAGGTTTTCGTGATTTTTCCAGTTTCCGACAAACGACGACCAGCGAGGCTAACCGGAGAAAAAGATAGAATATTCCGTCAAAGTTGACAAAATATTCTGACGCCGTCAGGTAGAATTAACAGTTTCTGTTACTATTTAACGGAATATTCCTAACGGGGTTAGGGGAATCCGTTAGGGTCCCTGCGCGTGGCCGCGCGTGTTACCGTGCCCTTGCCAGGGCGTGGCGGCGTGTGGGACGTCCAAAAATTATTTTAAAAATATGGGGATGTTTGTGAGGTTGTGTAGATCACGTTGGTATATTCAAACATCCCATTTGATCAATGTATGAGAAGTTATTAGCTAGTATTGGTTATGTTCTTTAAATTAACACTTTTATAGTTATTTCGCATATAGGGGAGACTTATCTCGAGGACGAGCGCAATCAAGGGCGACTCGGGGGATACGACCCTTCGACATACCAGTTAGTAGGCTTTTGGTTTTAAGTATATACGTATACGCTTGATGTTTTTCCCAGAAAATGCATTTAAATGATTTATACTTTGAAAATGCCATGCCTATTGATTTATGCTTAAATCATGAGTTAGAATATGATGCATAATATATAATTGTGGTGTTGTGGACGCTCAGGTAAGTACCAGGTGAGTTATGTTTGTTATGTGAATTATCGATGATGTGATATGTGATTGAGCAACTTTGAGCTCATGAACCTGCACCTAGGGTGATTGTGATTTAGCCAAAGATATGACATAGGCTTGTATATAATGTCACCTCCCGCATCATATGCTCACTTTGGGTCCAATTTAGGTGCACAATCTTATCGTATAGACCATCATAGGTGGTTCCGCCTCGTAGGTGACTAGCGAATTATCGCGCAGTTATCATGAGAGCGTAGTGTTAAGCATAATTATATTACAGCCAGTCTTGTCGTACAGACCATTTTAGTGGTTCCGACTCGTGTGCAGTGTAGTGTCGTATAGGTCATTGTAGTGACTATAATGAGCTATGAATTCAGCCATACAGACTTATGCAGGGGTTCCGGCTAATATGTTATTTTCCATGAATTTATTCTCACTTGAGTTACTTACACTATTTTATGTTTTGGCATGGCATACTTATGAATATGGTTATGTGAAGCATCATTTGAATTGAGATATTTATATATACATTTATGCATATGTTTATATTCTATTTTTGGGAAAATTATACATGTTTTACGGCGAGAGGTTATAACTTTTGAGAAATTAAATGATTTTGAAAACATTTGTTTTTGCCCACTCACATTTTCTGTTTTGCGCCCCTCCAGGTTTTAGGTTGTCTTGTTGTTGGTGGTGTGCGAGGATTTCGGCGGTTCTGACATAATAAAATATTTGTAGGACATCTTCTGGTACTGTATAGTGAGTACTTGTCCTACTGGAATGCACCTAGACTTTCTATGCTCTAATTAGGAGTATTTACTCTTGTATCTCACTCCTAACACTTCCTGTTTATTAGTGCTCTTTAGCATCTTTCGGTTTTAATTATTAGTATATTTCTTATCCTTATTGCTTCCGCACTGTGCATATGGCTACGTCAACCTCATGTGACAACCAGCATGCCTCGATCTCGGTCGGGGTGTGTCAAAAAAAGTCCCAAATTGAAATTCCCATAATTTTTGGGACGTCAAACCGAACTGATCCCCAACTATTCGGTACCAGATTCGATATTACCTATTCAATGGTTTAGGAATCCCAAACCGAACTGAATATATATATGGGATAGGATTAAGGGACAAATAGTTTTCCAAATATTTTTACATTTCTTTGTAGCCCTTAGATTTTATAACATCCAAGGGTTCTTATCTATTCATTAAATGACATGGATACTTATGTGGATTTTAACTAATATTAATGATAAAAATAAAACTGAAAAACATAAAATCTGGAAAATTAAAAAAGGAAAAAACCCTCCCTAGATGTAGTCGTGAAAACAAACTAACAGACTTTGAGCCCTAATAACACAAAAACATCAAATCTCTTCAAGATCTACAATGCCTTGGATGAAAGCTAATTAACAAGCCATTGAAAAGTTTTCTTGTTTGCTTAAGAATTTAATGTGAATTAATTTAAGGTTCATCGGGTCATCTTCACTGATTGAAAAAAATGGACTTCTTTAATAATGGGGCAATGGTGGGAAAGTTAGAATTTGAAAGAAAGTGTATAGAAACTTTTTGGGAGAGAATTGGACTTAGATTTTGGAGAAAATGAGTGGCTATATATAGGGGTGTGGCCAGCCCTATTAGGAGAATTGGGACCGACCACATTTGGTTGATTTGTTGGATTGATTGCAAGATATTATGTAAAATAATATCTTGCGAGTAGTTTGGTAATTAATCAATTGATTTTGTCTTCTTTACCCAAAAGTCCACGTGTCGCCTCCGTGATTTTCTTGATTATTTTTTGCTCCACAATATTAGTTTTAACTTTCATTCGGGACCATTAGATGTATAGAGATCCAAGAACTAATGTAAAGATATTTGTCAAAAAATATATCTTTTGATCCTATCCCTATATATATATATATATATATATATATATGCTATAATTTTCCTTCTCATCGATCTTCGTAGGTTGACCCATTTCAACTTTTGTCTATATAGTCCTTTAGTTTTATTATCAACAATAAGATTGTACAAATCTGATAAGCAGGATATATAGGGAGCTTACAATTTTGGGATGATTGCAAATGTTTTGGAGATAAGATACAAAAATGTCCTCACATTTTGGGATGAAGCACTTTCTCTCCCACTGTGAGAGTCTTTCTCTCCACCCTCCGTCAGAGCCCTTTTAGCCTGTGTGCTGAGTCTTCTTCAAACTTTATCTCCTCCACCGGCCCTTGCCAAGGTATGGGTCGGTGGCTCTCGGGTTTAGTTTTCTTTGCAATCTTTCTGCTGATAGTCACCAGTCTGTGCTTTAATTTTCCAAATCATATGCCATCAATTCCGATTTCTTTTCACCGTCTTTCTCATCCTCCACCTCCTTGGCTTTCCTCAAACCCATTTGATTTCGGATTTGTAGCTACTTACCTTAAACGCGTTTTGACGCGATTATCTGGGGATGTGCGTAGAGCTCCGGTGCAGGTGATCACACCACCACCTCTCATGGACCGGGAAGTGCATTTTGCTCTGGCTCGGGTGTTTACACCACCACTCCCATGGTTTTATCTTCAACTGCTTTGTTGCCTTCAATGACTCTGTTGCTGATGAGTTCTCTCATCAACTTCCTTTAGTTTGCTACAGATCCGTCATCTGTGGTGCTTTGTGAAGGTTGTTGGAGTCGTCTTTCCATCATTTTTGTGGCATTGTTTGGCTGGATTTTTGGCTTTTTTGGCAATGCATCAGCGGCGGTAGCAGGAAATCTAGGGTTTTCTGTTTCTTTTACTGTTTTTGGGCTCAAACTTTTGGTTTGGGCTTTGTTTTCGGCGTCCATATTTTCTTTTGGGCTTTTCTTGTAATTGGACCTCAATCATTGTAAATTTTCGTGTGTTTCGGTAATAAATCTACTACTTTTACCCAAAAAAAAAAAAAAAAAAACACTATAAGATCAATTTGCCAAAGGGCTTCGAATGGTTAAGTCAGAAGTGTTTAAGATAAACTGAATATAGTAGTAGAGAGTTGTGAGTTAAAGTTTTCCATTACAAGAGTATTCTGCAATTCGTGTCAAAATGAAGCTTCATCTATTGTTGTCAATATGTATAAAGTGTGTTTCGCGAAAGTCGGATCAGACTTTGGGGGACGGTTGTCACTCGTTTGGTTTCATTGACCCTAATTACTTAAATATATCAACATTTACAATAAAGACAATAAAGAAATTCTTGAAGTAGGATACTCTTGAGTGTTTAAATTGGATTGTTGTTAGCGACTTTGCTCAAAAAAAAAAAAATTCCACCGCAGTTAGTGTTAGCTAGATGCTCAAATCAGTTTGTGTGCTTGAAGTCCCTTTTTATTTATGCTTTAATTATATGGACAGATCTTAGCTATATACAAAGTTTTTACTGCATTTCGAGAATACCGATCCGTCCCGAAATACCAAAAATATTTTGAGAATCTCAAAATTCAAGAATACCGAAATTTCGGTTCAAGAGCGGTCTTTGATTCCTAATCAAAAAATGGTCGGTTCGGGATTCAGGATCCCATTTTTGGTTTAGTATCCCATACCAAACCAGCCCTACCCACTTCCCTCCTATGCTGCTGCCCTCCCTTAAGGGACAACTCACACTTGTATATTTTACTTGTCTACTTGTCAGCTTGTACAGCTGCATGTTTGTTATAACTGTTTTGTAACTAATCTTAGTCTTAGTGAGTTAATTAGGTGTATTTAGTTATAAGCTTTACTTGGCAATGTATATATACTGAGTTGTAATTCCTTATTCATTAAGAAAGAAATATACAAGGCTTCTTTCTTATATGGTATCACCTGCCTCTCTATTGCACATCACTCATATCCTTCTTTTTGTGCAATTCGATCTTCGATCTTTGTGTTGTTGATCCTCGGTCTTTTCTTTGATTATTCTCTACAATTCATGGCGTCTTCAAGCTCTTCTCCTATGCATCCTGAAGTTGTTGCTTCTAATTTTACGCATGTCATTCCCAATTTCACAACGATGAACCCTAATTCTTCGATCTCTTCGATTATAGTTTCAAATATTAGTTGTATGGTGCCTACGAAGCTCAACCATGATAATTACCTCGTTTGGAAAGCTCTTTTTGCTCCAATTTTTAGGCGACATAAACTCACCGGAATTGCTGATAAATCTGAGATATGTCCACCACCATATCTTCTTGATCGATCTAGTCAAAATATTGGAATTCATAATCCTAGTTTTGAAGTTTGGTATGAAAAGGATCAGAATATCCGTATTTGGCTCAACTCTACACTCTCTGAAGACATCATCCCCTTCACAGTCGGTGTCACCTCTTCTCGCAAGCTTTGGTTGAATCTAGAGCAACATTTTGGAGGTGTTTCTACAGCTCACATCCATCAACTCCGCTCTCGTCTTCATTCTGTAAACAAAGGTGATCTCGCCATTTCTGAATACCTGCAACGCATCAAAGGCATTTCTGATGCTCTAATGGCTGTCGGTGCTCTGGTCTCTGATCATGACCTCATTGTTGTTACTCTTAGTGGCCTCCTTAATGAGTACGATTCTTTCATTGACTCTATTGTGCTTCAAATTTCTTCTACCTGACTGGACGAACTTCATAGTCTTTTGTTGAACGAGGAAGTTTTTATGAATCATAAGAAGAAAAGAGTGCCCTCTTCCGCTTCAGAACCATTTTAGGCTTTTGCTGCTCAATCTCAACATCCTTAAGCCCCTCTACTTCCTACACCATCTTTCTATCCTTTTCCACAAGCTTATTGATAGGATTTTTACCATCTACAAAAGTAGGGATAAAAACACTTAAAAATACTTGCAAGAGTACAAGGTTAACGTAGTATGGCAACTCAAGCAATGTCATTTTTCCACAGGGATTGAATGAATAATTTGTATTTAAACTAATCCTTCTAATTATTTAGAACAATGTTTCGAAAAGGTTGATTTTGGAATTTAAAATAACAAAAATGAATTTAAATAAAAATAATTAAATACATCAACAAAGTAAAGAAAGCAAAAGAAAACGGTTTTGGAAAACAATTTAAACACTAGGGTTTTGCCGTCACCATTGACAATCCTACACAATTTTACCAAATACTTATGAATTTCTACATACATGCTTTGAAGGTTAGGTTTTCCTAATACATATTTTCCTCATGATGTTCAAGTGAAAACGTATATCTAACATGCAACCCGTTTGTGATATTCAGATCAAATATAAACATGCAAGACTCACTAAGCTTTATGAAAACCCTTTGAAAAACCATGCAACCCTTAAGAGCATGATGTTCGCCTTAAGTGAACTTACAATTACTAATCACAAGAAGCCCTCCTCAATTTCAGGGTGATGTTCCAACATACATCAAATTACTTATCTAAATACCCTAATGGTCGCGAATCACTAAGACAATTAGATAGTTTAATCACGGTGATTAATAATTCAAAGCAAGCATGCATCCATTCATAAGCAAATTAATAAAGTCACATATTCTTGCTAAGGCTCGTGGATTCTCCCTAACAAAATGACTAGTTACGAACAATCAGAATAAAAACTAAAGAAAATATATTAACTAGAAAAAGGATTGAAAACACCTTGTAGGTAAAAAGTCTGAGGTTCTCCAAAATAATGCCTATGTTCTCTTAATGTTGTGTAGAAAACCCTAATGGCTAAAAAGCCTTTTTTATATACTCCAAATTAAAACCCTAATAGTAAAAGGTTTTCTAAAAACTAGAAAATAAAATAATAAAATGATAACTAGGAATTACATTCCTATTATGACTAGGAAATATGCTCATCAAACAGATAGCCACGTTTCTGAAACTTCAGGGCTCCAAAACAGATCCAAAACTACTCGAATTAAAGATGACCTCCTCTTCAAGTTCCAAGAAGAGCCCAAGTCCAAAATCCATCATCTTCCAGCCCAAAAGTCACAAATAAGCTCTGCAACTCAATCTGCCAACACAGCACGCTGTGGATAAATTAATTCGCCACGATCTGATGCTTCGAGATAAAATTATGAAATTTTGACACAATCTTCTTGACAGGCTCACGAAGCCGCTCCAATTAGAATTACTCGAAAATTCCACCGTTTGGTTATTTTTAGCTAAAAACAATTTCGCATGTCCTACATTAAAAATACATAACAAAGTATTAAAATGTCACCAAAATAATAATCAAAATATACCAAAAATAAGGAATAATATATAGTATAAAATCGACTCATCACTTATGCTACTCAGTCATCCAACTATAATGCTTCTCCAAAGTATTACAACAACAATGGTTGTAAAGGATCCTTTTAGCGTAACAATTGTGGTAATTTTGATAAGAGTTCCAATAATTCTCGTGGTAATTTTCACAATTCTGGCAATGGTTATGGTAACTTTAGAAATAACTCTGGCAATGATTCTGTCAATTTTTATCGCAACTTTGGTGGTTTTAATCGAAACAATCGTGGAAGAATTCCTTGTCAAATATGTCATTCTTATAATCATGAAGCTATTGACTATTATGAACACATGAATCATTCTTTTTTTGGTAGTAAAATTCCACCTGCAAAATTGGCTGCTATGTATGCTTATACTACTTCCAAGCAATCTCCTTCTACTTGGTTGATGATTTATGGACCCACGTCTCATATAACCAATGATATCTTAGCCATTTCTTCCCCAATTCCATATTATGGTGAAGACAAGGTGTATATTGGTGATGGACAAGGTATGTCTATTCATCATACTGGTACTTCTCTGGTTAAAACACTAGATTTTACATAAGGATAAGCTTGCTCACAGTGGTGACAAGTTTACTAATTTATTTTGCTCAGATTGTGCTATAGGTAAAAATCACAAATTGTCTTTGTCCTCTAGTACTAATACTATCTTTGCTAGTTTAGAGTTGATTCACTCTGATGTTTAGGGACCAGCTCCAGTCACTATTGTTGGTGGTTACAAATTTTATGTGTTGTTTGTGGACGAGTTCAATAAGTATACTTGGTTGTTCCCTCTGAAAGCTAAGTCTGAAGTATTTTTCATTTTTGTAAACTTCAAAGCTTATGCAGAAAACATGATTGGAAAGAAAATAAAGATTTTGAGGTCTGATTCAAGGGGTGAGTTCATAAGTTCTCCATTCAATTCTTTTCTCTTAAGTCATGGTATATCACATCAATATAGTTGTACTCACCTCACAATCCATCATATAATGAATGTGTTGAGAGGAAGTGTGAAATCACATCCCCGGATTTCACTATTTAATTTTCATATATTGTATTTGCGCGATTTTATTTTTGTTAATTTTAGAGTTTTAGTTAATTAGTTACAAAGTTTGAGTTTTCGTAATAGTCATTTAAAATCCGTACACCTTTCGAGGTTACACTTAATGGTTTTTAATAGCGCTCGATTCTACAAGCACATAGGCGAATACTGTTCCCGAAACGGAGCTATAACTAGGGGTGGTTCGGTATGGGATCCCATACCGAAACCCTTGTCCCGATTCCCAAACCAAAAATTTCGGGAATCCCAATGTCAATACCGATCCCAAACCAAATTTTCGGGAATCCCGAAATGATTTTGGGCTTTTGGGCTTTTGGACTAAAATATTATGTTTTTGGGCTAAAATTGAACCTTTTAACACTTTTGGGCTGCAATCTGCGAAGAAGCCCGTTGCAATATGTGCCAATTGCAAGACTATGTCAATTTAAATGTAGATGCTACAATTGCAAGACTCTGCCAATCTGGATTCAAATGTAGATGCCACAATTGCAAGACTCTGTCAATTTAAATCATTCATACAGAAATATGTGCAACTATTGAAACCTTCATTTTCTATGGACTCCCATGTCGTGTGTGTGTGGGTGCTTATTATATAAGTGTATAAGTAACCAAGCTGCAATCTGTGCACAAATCTGTCCATCTGCCAATTTGTGCAGTGTGCACAAATCTGCCAATCTGTGCACAAATTTGTGCACAATAGCATTTGCCCATTCAATTTCTACTACAAATGCATGCAATAAAATAAATTAAGTAACAAATCCAAAAGCAAAAAAAATTAGTTACAAGCCAAGGTTTTAAAATAAATAAAGTAACAAACCCAAAAGAAAAAAAAAATTAGTTACGAGCCAAAGTTTCAAAATAATTACTAGCCAAAGTTACTGAGCTTCGACAAAGAGGATCAAAATGGCCTTCTGTGCAAACTCTTTCCAATAGATGATATTCTCAATAACTTGTTGGTTTTTCCAATTAAGTCATAGGGTGATCAGTAAGAGTGAAATATTATTCAACTCCGATTTTAAACTTCAGCCGCTCGTTTGGACAAACTTTCTTAAACAAACAATTTATGCAGTATCCACTAATGATACGTCTTACCACTTAACAGTGGACATGAAGAAGGGACATGATTAATTGGGACCAAACAAGGGGTGGCTATACAGAATCACATATACACAATAGCGATATAGATCAGAATGTAGCGGGTTTTTAACCTCTCCGTCGATTCAAAATCCCTAATTCAGAAACCCTAATTTCAGAAACCCAAATTCAAAATCTCTAATCAAATTTGGAATCAAACAATTTGTACGAACTTTGGTTGAGTTTATTGCAGGAATTTCTTACCTTTTGCAGTGAGGAGGAGTGCGGACTGAGGACTGGTATAGAGGACAATGGGTGAAGGCGCGATTCAGGTGAGGAGTGAGGACCCAGAGGAATGAGGACTGGTGTGGCCGTGCGGGTAGATTTGGGATTCAAGCGACGGATGTGGAAGGAGAGACAAATCGGCGAGGAGAGACCGAGAGTGATTGTCGAGAGAGACCGAGAGAGAGATCAGGATTTAGGTCTGAGGTGAGGTGAGGGTGAGAGTGACGAGATTGTCGAGAGGGACCAAGAGAGAGAGTTAGACACGGGTTTAAAACATAACAACGGTTGAGATTAAATCTCAACAAAATCCAACGGCTATTAAAATTCTAAATATATATATTTAAAAATTAAATAGGTTTTTTATATTAGCACCCCACAAAATGTTGAATGCACCCCATATTAAAAATTAATATTAAATAACTTATTTATTCTACTATGCAATGGCAATTTTGACCTTATTAGGTTAAAAAAAATAAAAAAATTCTATATACACCCCAAATCATTTTTAACGTATTATTTATTTTCTTCAACTATCAAAACCCCTCCAACCCTCCATTGTTGAACAAAATCCTAACCAATGAAACTACAAATATGTTGATTGAGAAAAATTATTTTTGACGAATGAAACACGAAATCGATGTTTCGAAAGCTTCACATGAGGTAAGGCTTCATATTATTTATTGTTTTAGTGACTTTGACGATATCGATAATTATTTAATCTTGTTTTTGATACATTATTCAAGCTTCTATGTTCGTATTCATCTTTTAGGGATCACAGAGATTACATGAAGAATTAAACATCTAAAATTACCACTATTAAAAATAGACAACATGGGTTTTAATGGTGGAATTGAAAACAACCCACATATGCTTTAAATCCCAGGCGGCATCTTTTGTCAAAATTTTAGTCAACGTTATTTGTCCAAATTAAAAGCTTTATAAGATTTGAGAAATGTTGGTGTCTAGAAAATATGGGGTGCATATAGAAAATGTAAGGTGTATATTAAGAATATGGGGAATGAGGGTATTATGGAGAAGTATGTGGGGTGTATTAAGATAATTTTTAATTAAAAAACAAATGTGAGGTGTATTAAATTTGTGGGGTTTATTCAACAATTTATGGGGTGTTAATATAATAAGCCGTTAAATAATATATATATATATATATATATATATATATATATATTTCAGTTCGGTTTGGGAATACCGAAATCCCAAAAACTTGAGACCGATTCCCGTACCGAAATTTCGGGATCGGTTCAGTATTGGGTACCGAAATTTTCGGGAATTTTAGTTTGGGATTTTTTTGGTTTGGTTTCGAGAATTTTTCGGTTTGGTTTGAAATTTTTGGGATTTTTTTCCAGCCCTAGCTATAACGAAGGAATTACGAGCCACGTAAGTTAAGGACAAAAACGTAAATTGGAAGGGGGACCAATCCCCGTTCTGGAAAACTGACAGCCGACTCGATTGAGACCGGGTCACTCACATGACCCGTTTTCCGACCCGGTTTCTGCAAGCTGTTCCGACGCCGCTCCGACGTTTTTTTCTAGCGAATTAAAGCCAGTCACCACCAGGAAACAACTCAGCTCACCCCAAATATCATTTCCACCGAAACTCTAGCGAGTTTGATCACAGTTTCACTACGAACAGAGTCGTCGTCTTCCTCGAGCTCACAGCGACGATGCCGCCGTTGCAGCGCTTTCCGACGTCACCTACCACCACCATCTGACTCACTACCAGCCCAGGAACAAAGCCCAAGCAATGTTCGAGGCGTTGGAGCATCGATGAAGTTGAATCGACGATCACCCTTTCTATGGTTTTTCGGCAATCCATGAGCGTTTTCAGGCGTTTTCCCACGGAATTGGACCCAGAAGAAGTTATAAATCTTACTCTACGCCTCAAGCTTCATTTTGGTATAATTTGAGCTACTTGGCGTTAGGTGAAAATTCCGGCGAGTCGTGGCCGCCAGCGGCCACGTGCGACGCTTCAATCATACCTGGCATCATGAACCAGGATAATTAAGTACAATTTTGGCTGTATTCATATTGAGTTAGTGTTCTGCAATCAACTAAGTATTAGCCATAGGCTGCAGAGAATAATAATCAATTGTAGTCATAGGTCATAGGCTACAGCTGCAAAGCACAAAGGTTTGACTTATGAATTAAGATATGACCATCAAGATGCGGAAGAATTACAACAACAAAAAAATGAAACTGAGAAAACAAGATAGATGGGGAGGACGATGGAGTTGAACGAGAGAGGGATATGAGTAAGGGAAGAACGATGAACAGGATAAGGGAAAATAAATAGTCAAACGGGAAAAGAGAGGAGAATTAATGAGATAGGAGAGAGATTAATAAATTTGATTAAAAGGCTTTTAGAATTTTGTTACCAAATATATAATTATTTAAAAAAAAGATAATTAATTGGATTAATTATATTGCATCTCAACCGTTAAAGTGTATAAATTTAAGAAAACTTTCGGTACTGTTGATTTTAATAAAAAATCACATTTTTACATTAAAAATTCAATCATGGTACTATTTACTTTACCCTTTATTTTGTTCTTATCGTTAAAACTCAAAGTTTTCAGACCATTTTCATTAGTTTTTCTTAAATTTAATGATTTAAGATTTGTGTCAATATGTGTCAAAAAATGTTTACTAAAAGAAAAAAAAAATATGTGTTAAAAATGTGGTGTCCCTAATCTGTATCCATTGTAAAACACAAATTATGTGTCAAAATTTGTGTCAAAATATGGTGTCACTGACCCATACCCATTGCGAAACCCAGATTCACTTATTTTAAAAAAGTAGCAACCTTCCAAATCAAGCCAATTTAGGCGCAAACTTGGTCAACTTAGCCATGCCTAATAATATGATGTAATGCCACCATATCTCTGACTCATAATCTTCTAATTGCTATCATTATCGTATACTTTTCTGGTAAATATGCAAACAATAAACTCAAATATCTAATGGTTGATATAAATTTTGTAGATATCGCTTCTTGTCTGGAAATAAAAAACATAACTTAAATTCGTTAACCTCTTTCAACATTGAGAAACGATGTGCTTCAAGAGCTAATTCATACTTGATACTTGTTTGTGAATAATCAGCACATTTTGATTATACTAATGATGTTTATGGCTTATAAATTAAGGTGCTCTTTTTTACTCCAAAAGAGATGTTGTGGTAGAAGGGGATAACAAAATAAGATCATCTCCAAAACAAATATCAAATTATTAAAGTCAAATTACAATTGATGGCTGATGTGACAATCTCAAGTCTTATGTCAAATTTTGTACTTCTCCATCCAAATTGTGAAATGTTATTTTATTATTTAGGCCTAATTGGATTATTAGTTCCCGTGGTAATATGGTAGTTGGAAGATAACCATGTGGTAAAATAAATAAATAAATAAATAAACTAAGATTTAAGCCTATGTGGTGAAGTTTGTTAGGATTTATGCCCAAAATTTGAAAATTTTGTTAACTCTCCGTTAATTATTAGCACGTGAGCCACACATATTAGGCAAACATAACTCTCCGTTAATTGTTAGTATGTGAGGTTAACTTTATCTTTTTAGATTCACGTGTGAGCCTCCTGTGCTAACAATTAGTAGAGAGTTGACAAAATTTTCAATTTTTGGCCTAAATCCAACAGACTTCCCTAGGGCTTAAATACTAATTTTTATTTTTATTTTTTTATCACATGGACTATTTTCCAACTAGCCAATCACCTTTAATCCAATTAAGCCTATTATTTAAATAGAGCCTTAAATGGTTGTAATTATTAAAAAAATGTTGAAACAAAATTTTTATTGGTTGAAATGTGAATAAAATAAGGGATCCACCATAAATGAATTAAAAATTGATGTCAAATTTAACTCTAAATCACCAAATCTTCAAATTCAGTTAGCAAATAACATTTCAGTTGGAGAGATTTTTTATGTCAAATATGCATAGTGGCATACGACCTAGGATTTTGACATCTCCTATAGAGATGCTCCAAAAAAACAAAAGACAAGTAAACTTCGTATAAGTCTACTTTAATATATTTATACATATATTTGAACCTTTCACTTGCCCCATTTGAATTTCGATATGGTCCACACGTCGCAATTAACGATGAATGTTTTTTCTCTTTTGGCTAGCCGTCTCCCAATTAGACTGCTTCTTCCAGCGCCTACTTCCAAGGAACAATTCCAAACCCCAAGTCCCCCAAGTCCCCCACACCTTTATATATACGTACACATTAAAAACTCTCCCTCATCACCTCACAACTCCAAACGATATATACCCAATATACAAAATCCATTAAAATTAGAAATGAGGACCTCTAGCAAAGCAAAGAAGCAAAGCAAGTTCATGCACATTATTTGTGCACCCGTTAGGATCTTAACCAAGGCAAGAAACTTTTACGTGAGGGGCCTGGAAGATTATGCCGGCAAGGTGGGTTATGGTGGCGGTGGTGTGAGTGGTTACACTGCTTCACAAGTTTTGCCCAGGAGCTTCAGCGTCAATTCTTCGAGTTCTAACGACGATGAGGACTTGAGTCAGCTTCTAAGAACGGCGTCGTGCAAGAGAAGTAATGCAGAGAAAGAGAGAGAGAACAATAATATTAAGTCTGTTGGGAGATCAGATTTGCACAGAAGACCAATAGTTAGACAACCCACAAACACTATGAATGGAATGGGGTTGAGGAGTTACAGTGTTGGGTTGAAGATGGGAAGAATTGATGAGGAGACAGCTTGTTCTTTTATGGAAGATAAGGTGGATGTGAATGCTGATTTGTATCCGAGAAGCAGAAGCCATGCTGTTCGGAGAAGAAATGTTGGGTTTGCATAATTAGCCAGCCAAGAACTGATTTCTGAAATATTTTTTTATTTGGATGTAAAAACAAAATGAATTCGTTCAAATTCTTTGTTTGATTATTTGGATGCCAAATTATTTTCGATACAGTGTTAGAGTTAATTTGAATTACCCTTATTGGCCGCAAATTTGTACTTTCTAATTCCTAATTATATTTAAAAATGCTACTCAACAGGCGAAGCTAGGAATTTTTCACTAGGCGTGCTAGCTTAAAGATTTTAATCTTTTATAAACAAAGAAATTTGATACTATATTTTTCATATTATCAATTAGCTTAAGGAAATTTTCACAAAGTGAGCCAAATAATTTTTTCGTTATTAAAAAAATAAGTGTTAAAATTCAAACAAATCCAAACTTGAAACATATACGTACAAGCAGTGTTCTAAAAATTGCTCTAGGCGGCCATGGTGGAAGCCCACTGCGATTTGGGATAGATCGTTGAAAAATCGGCGGGGACCTAGGCGCTCTAAACATCGCTAGGCGGTCTGAAATTCTTGCCATTGCACAAGGTGCTCTGTAACTCTCCCCACCACCGAAGGCTCTACAACTCTCGCCACCTCAAACTCTCATCGCATCTGCAACTTCAAATTTCCAACTCCCACATTGCATCTCTCATCTCGCATCTGCATCGCAAACTATGGTTGCTTGCCAGAGGTTGAGAGAGAGAGAGAGAGAGAGAGGTTTTGTGTCACGCCCCGAACCAGACATACGTCCAGGATCGACACGTGACGCCACCAAATACCCATATCTCAAACATACCCCGCCTCCGGAATATGACAAATCACAACTCGAGAATCGATTCACATAGCAAATTTTCGTATACTTTATGGCTGCATCTAACCTCCTTATTAGACTGCCTACGTACCCTCAATAGGGATCAAGCCATTTGTAGTTCATCTTCACTATAACTCGACATATAACACATTCTGTTCAAGCCAAAATGCATAACATTCCTCAATCAAACATTTGGACTTGACAAGCATGAATTATTCGATTCAAACTACATAACAACCCGCATGACAATCAAGGTTTCTATTTCATCCATCATATAAATCATTATATTTCAACATAAAATTGCTATTCATATCATGTAATATATCAAAAAATCAACAAGGCACAATAGTATCCTCTAGTCGCATTGATCACTGATCTAGTCGTATTAATAACAATCATATTCAACGTCCTTCCACAATCATCTCAAGTAACCCATTCCATGATATCAAGGAGGCACGATATTAACATTTAATTATGTCAATCAGTCAATCGATCATACCTCAATGCACAAAATTAATAAAGGACTTCTACATATTTCCCTGCCTGATTTCAAGTAATAACTTGATAATTCTAATTTATATTCACAAGATCTATTGTGGGTAATTCTCATTCACTCGAATCTAGGGTACAAGTCTAACTTATGGAAATGAGCAAGAGTAGGTATTCCGGACCACTCAACGGAATCCAACCACATTGGGTTCCGGATCACTTAACGGAACCAAAATTATCAATCGGTTTCTCGCATGTAAAATTAGTGTCATCGATCACAATCTATAAACATCAAGTATAGAATCATGCTTTATGAAATCATAATCAAGTCACTGACAACTTTGAAGGAGTCACCCAGACATCCAATGACCTTTCTAATTCAAAGCACAAGATTCTCAATATCCATCGTTCATATGTACATTAAAAACTTGGGCTAAAGGGATGCAGCTCGGCCGAAGCCTACGTCCTTGAAGCTATCTCAATCCAAACTCAATGAAACCCGAGGTGGATACGATCCCAGACCATCACTCAACGAAATCGCGAAGTATGAGGGATTCCGGACCATCTCTCAACGGAATCCGAGTGGATACGATTCCGGACCATCACTCGACGGAATCGCAAAGTACAATGCATTACAACCACTAAATGAAACTCAAGCTGGATACGATTCCAGACCATCACTCAACTGAATTACAGAGTACGAGGGATTTCAGACCATCTCTCAACGGAATCTAAACTAAATTATGATTGCCTATCGAAATATACGAAGTACAACTAATCATCAACATCTTTAAAATGCGTATAATCCCCCATCGTGGATATACCAAGCAGAACCATAGGCATAATCTCATCGTGCAGGCAGTGATCACCCATCGCGGATATACCAAGCATGATCACTCCTGAATACATATAGTCCCCCATCGCGGATATACCAAGCAGAACCATATGCATAATTTAATAACATAGGCAATGATCACCCATTGCGGATATACCAAGCATGATCACCCTTAGCAGTCCCCCATCGCGGTTATACCAAGCAGGATTGTATTTTGTAGCTCTAGGTAGTAATCATCCATCGCGAATATACCAAGCATGATCATTCCTAGAATGTGTATGGTCCCCCATCGTGGATATACCAAGCAAGACCATCCATGTACCTCTGCTACATGGTGCAATCAATTTAACACACAACTCAACCCCTATGAGTTTCAACGTAGTCACCTACACCATCAACTTCTCATGGCCACCAACTAATATGTCACACAAGCATATAAGTTCTACAGAATACAACCAATAAGATTCTAGGATCACATTGTCATAACAACAATCATACACATCATACATATATAACCACTTTTCATATACGTTTCCAAGCTACAATCGATTCACAATTAATAAACATAGATTGATGCTAAAAATAAAAATAACAATTCAATAGAAAGCACATTTAATAAACAAGTATAACTCAATATGGTGCCACTAATACATATATTGAGACACACGTCAACTGGGAACGACACGTCATCGTGATGAGCCAACTAAGCTCCATCAAGCCTCAACAACAAACTAGAGGTAAACGACACTCTAGAGTAGAGCACATTGACAAGAACATCAACCGTCGATAAGGTAGGTCCATTAAGGTCAACAATCTAAGGTTATTCAATCCAGAAGATCCGCACATCGGATTTCCGATCCAAAAGTTCTCAAAGGTTCAACAACTAATAACTATGGTGCTCACAAAACTGTACGACGATCCAACGATTGGATTGTCATCAATCACACAAACAAGTGGTGGTCCAATTTGATCACCACACCAAACAATTGAATTTCGGGAAACTGAGCTAGACATAGGTTCATAGGGTCACTAGAAGGTATTTGGTACTTAGACAACACTCGTGAACGGTCTCACGCACCACCACACGATGGTAGTTATGGTGAAGGGTTTGAAAACCCAAATTTTCAACCTTAACCAAAAAGGCTCAAATTTACGTGGTAACTAGAGCTCAACAAGGGAAACATTATTCACAACTAGGCCAACGACAAATTCTAACCGGAAACCATCCAAATTCATCGGAGAAAATCGGCTTTCTAGGGTTCTAAACACCCAATTCTAAAACGAATACGAAAGCACAAACCAAGTATACCAACTTGAAGATTATGAAGAATAGATGAAGTTTAATACCTCACTTGAAAGAAATGGTTGCCGAAATCACCGGAAAAATGACAAAATCGCCGGAAACCCACGGAACTTTGCTACCTGGAACTGGAAAAATGGATAAGAAGATGGGAAATCTAACACTACAAAGATGTAGGGCTTGCCAAGAGCTTTCCATGGACACTAAGATCACCCAAAACGGAGATTGGATGAAGGAGATACAAGCGGGTCAAATTTGTGGGTTAACGGGTCCAATTCACCCCCAAAACGGGTTAGCAGCAGCCTATCTCCCTTTCTCCCCTCTTTTTTTTCAGAAACCTTCCCCTTTTTAATCTAACTTAACCTTTAACCCACATCTGGGAATTAAATAAATCCCATAATCTATAGTTCACAACTTCAAACGTCTGTAACTATACCGTTATAACTCAGACTTGCAAACGGCTTTCGCCTATGCATTCATGGGTTCGAAATCTATTTAAAAACATTAGTTAAAACTTTGAAAAGTCAACGAAAGATAAAGATTGATTACAAAAATTCAAACTCAATAACTATTTGATTTAATTCCCAAAATTTATGGAATTAAAATTAAGTAATAAAAATGATGTAAACGTGAAATACAAACTTAAATTACGAGATACATAATGAATAGTGAAATTCCGGGGACGGGATTTCACATTTTGAGTTTTTGTGTCATGGGTTCACGGAAAGAGACGGATCCCCTAATCACATCCGTTCATCGTACATCGTGCGACCATTTTTTGTCAGGTATTATTTATATTCAATTTTAAATAAAGAAGTTTACAATAATTTTTGACTGCATGATGTACGATGAACGAATGTGATTGGAGGATCCCCATGATCCTCATAAAGAGGATTCGGCGAAGATCCTCCTACTCACGGGAAGAATGAAAAATTAAGTAGAAAGAGGGATTTTTGTTTGACTTGCCACATGTGTGATTTTTCATGACTAAAACATAAGGGAATAAATTTATTTTTTAATGGGGAAACCAGGTCCAATTAGGGGTGGGCACGGTGCAGTTCGGTGCAGTTCCACTCCTAAACCAAAAAATATCAACGATTCGGTTCCACTTAAAATTATTACTAGAACCGTACAGTTCGGTCTACACCGGTTCCGATTTGGTTCTTACCGGTTTACGGTTCTGAATACTAAATTATTTGAACACCAAATCATCATGCATTCAAATACATCTTCTAAAACTGATTATATGAAGTTGCATACAACACATATACTTTTTAATGCAAATGTCTTTGGTCACACCAAGTCAACAAAAAGAGACAATTAAAAGAAATATGCATTGGTCAGTCAACATACAAAAAAATCAAGAACTCAAAGCAGCATTAGTCTCCTGACATTGGCAGCAACAACAACAACAACAAGCAAAAAGAAATATTCAAAGAGCATTAAAGGAAATATGCATTGGTCTCTTGATATTGGCAACAACAACAAGCAAAAACAAAAATCCAAATGTCCTTGGCAGTGGCAGATTCTTTTTCAAACAGCAGCTCCTGTACACAATCAAACAACATATAATCAAATCAAACAACTTATTTCAGAGAGCAAGCAAAATCACAATTTCTTATTTCAGAGAGCAAGCAAACAACATACATCAAACAACAAGCTTACAATTCAAATTAGTAAGGAAGGTGCTAAAAAACTAAAGTTACATACATACCATCAGTAGTAAAAGGTGATAAGTTAGGACTAAATAGTTTATGAAGCTTCAATGCTAAATGTGCCACCATTCCTCTTTTCTAGAACATATAAAAATCAAGAACTCATTAGAAAATAAGAAAGTAAGCACATACATCAACACCTTGTATTCTCTCATCATTGTAAAACACCAACCCACCCCTCTCCCTTCCCTCCCCTTTTAAGTTTCAATCCAATTTTCAATACAAACAACAAATCCATTCACACATATACTAAATTATAGGAATATACATTCACACATAAGGTGTGGGCATTGTCCTTAACAGCCCATGTGATTTTGATTCTCTTTAACGTTGTGTTACCAACGTCGGTTTATAAAAACCCAACCCCACCCGCATAGCATTAAAACAAGCTTTTATCTTTAACACATGCCACATGGCATGCTCTTACTGGATGCAAGTTAGAACTTTGTGGTCTTTACCACACCTTAGCATTTTGATTTCTAAAATATCATAAGCCGCTTTCTTTCTCCATAATCCCTAACTTCAGTTCTCTCCGTTGCATCCTCCATATCCACTCCATTAAATTTCTTCTAAGATTCCTAGTTTTCTATGCATCTTTGTTGGTATTCCGAGCATGTTGGCTCGGCCTACGGGTTGAGGGTAAACCCCGCCCAATCTACCTAATGTCTAGCCCTACCCTTTAATTCTTGGCAGAAATAATAGATGCTCTTATTGATTACCAACAGATGGTAGTTTTAAGTGATACTATTACAATTTAGGCCGCACATCACTCAACACGAGCTAACCTCACAAGAATACAGTAGTACGACAGCAAAACAAGAGTAAATTTAATTTAGCCCAAGAGAAAATGGAAAACCAGTAAAACTGAACCATATTCCTAATCTCAAATATGCGAAAAGATAGAGAAAATACTGAGGGAGGACGAAAGACGAAGAGTCGTGAGCTTTCGTGGAGGAGGGATGACGAGGGCTGTCGCAAAGAGCTGAGGTTGTGGGCTGCCTGAGGAATCGCTGATGAGAGGCTGTGAGTGAGGTGGTTGGCTGAGTGAAAAAAGAATGAAAGTCTAAAAGTGTGAAATGGGGGATGTGAAGCCGTGAGTGAGGTGAGGGTGAGGTGGGTGAGCCCTAATTGGGATGGGATCCACTTCTTTGCAACTTGGTGAAACTAATTTTTCAAACTTTTCCAATCAACACGGTTCTTTTTGGTTTTTTTCATACGATTCGATGCAGTTTGCGGTTTTTATGCCCACCCATATGTCCAATTGTTTTTCAAATGAAAAGCAAAGTCCAACAATGATTAATATAATGGGGTGAGTAAATGTTACAAAATTAACAACAAAAAAAAGTCCTAAAATTATACACATATACTCATATTTTATAATATATTATAAATTTATGTAAATCCGCCTAGGTCGCCTAGGCACCTGTCTAGGCCCCGCCTAACCACTTAGGCCCCAATCCGCCGCCCGACTAGAGCTTAACGTTTTTTAGAACCTTGTGTACAAGAAACAATGAGAAAAATGATGTAAGAAAAAGATATGGTTTGTAAACAATATTATATAGTTTTATATAATTAAATTGAGAGAACTAAGATTAGTGACTAATTATATATATGGTGGGCTACATTAAATTTCACCGAAAGCTACTTGGGTAGCCCTTAATGTGGTTTTGCTAGTGCTTACTAATTATTTGTATCATCATTTGTATCATTTATCTAATAGAGATGAAACTCACAAATGTTGATGGACCATACTTCTATTAGATAAATGATACAAAAGATAGTACAAATACATAGTAAATATAGCTCACTCAATTATATTACATTTGGATTGGTTTTGCCATGTTAGTCAATTGTCCGAAAATGATATGGTTCGTTATTAGTGGCATCAAAGTAGGGAACAAGAAGGTGGATTTTATTTATTGACAGCATTGAACAAGTCGTCAAGCAATGAGCTACGATCTGCCTGTCGGCCTGACCCTACTAGCCATATGCAATGGAATTGACTCTGTAAATTATCTTGCCCTTCCTTTTCTTCCCCTGTTTTAATTAGTTAGACTTTTTTTATACAAAAAAAATATTTCTTGAGTCAAATATATTTTTAATTATTAAATTTTTTATACAAAGATATATTTCCATACAAAGGGTTTGGAAGAAAAATTGATTATGAACTCGTTACTTTCGAGATTCAAACCTAAAGTCTCTCACTTACAAGTAAAGACTAATACTGCTAGACTAGGATTGGCAACGGTTCGGTTTGGGACGAAAATGCTATGTCCATCTCCATAACCACAAAAATTAATTATATTCATAACCATAAATTAACCAACGAAGTTTATCCATAACCATACCCATTGGATAATGGATTTCAGTTAACGGTTATTTCCATCTTCGTCAATATAAACAATGTATTTGTTCAGTTAACGCACTATAATTTAGTAGATACTAATTTCGTTATTAAATATCCACCAATTTCTTGATTGTAAGACTCTTGGAAAGAGATGATAAACTTGGAATATTTGATAAAATGATTCAATGAACGGATCTTGTAGAGTATAAAAATTAAAGCATTGAATTTAAAGTATTGATGATGTTGGCTCATCTTAGATATCTCCCACAAGCACCATTGAATTCTCATTGATTTTGATTCAAAACTTTTGAACTTTCCGACAAAATGCAACTCACACAATGCAACTTTTGTATTCTCAAGGTAATGGGTTCGGTGAATAACGATTATAAATATATGGGAGGCCTTTAAGGGAAGGGAACCCTATTTTTATTTATTTATTTAATAATAAAAATGGGGATTAATTGTGAGGCCCACACTATATCGAACTTTAACGATACCAACTATCTATTTTTCACGTTGCACCTCATGGATCATCCTTGCAAAACATTAGCAAAACCGAAAATATTTAAGGCATCTATTTGAGTTAAAAAAAATTAATTGACAAAGACTTTGTTCTAAGAAAACATATAAATTTCATTGTGATAGTTAAAAAGACAAATGGTTTCAAATTAAATAGAATTTTTGTAAAGATAATCTATGAATCAAAACTTACAAAATAGACCGTTCGGATTGTTGAAGTTCGATGTGGAGTGAGTTCCACAACTAATCCCCATTTAAAAAGAAGATGGGGATCCCTTTCACTTAAAGGGTCTGTGCATAGGTTTTAGAACCCAAAGGCCGAGACGTGTTTCTTATTTGGCCATGATCACTCATATATCAGATCTACACCATCATCACATTTATTCTACTTGCCGATCGAGTTCGGTGGCAAATTGGTACGCCCACATTCACTAGAAAGACATAGTTAGCTAATTAGCCATTTACCCTGCGCATCACGCAAGCTAAGCAGTTTTAAGTTCAACAAGAAGTTTTCCCTTTTACTCCTAAAGAGAATGTTGTGATAAAGGGGGATGAGAATAAAATACAAAAGACCAGTAAACTTAGTTGTACAAGTCCACTCTAATATATTATACACTTATTTGAACCTTTCACATGCCCCATTTGAATTTTGATATAGTCCACACGTCGCAATTAACAATTAATGTTTTTTCTCTTTTGGCTAGCCGTCCCAGTTAGACTTTCTAATGCCTACTGGCTAGTTCCAAGAAACAAGTCCAAAACCCAAGTCCCTCAAATCCCCCACACCTTTATATATTCGTACACATTACAAACTCTCCCTCATCACCTCACAATTCCAAACCTCTCAAATCTCTTTCTCTTCTTTGTTCATCCCATATATACGCAATACAAAATCCATCAAAATTACAAATGAGGACCTCTAGCCAAGCAAAGAAGCAAAGCAAGTTGATGTACATCGTTTGTGCACCCATTAGGATCTTAACCAAGGCAAGAAACTTTTACATGAGGGGCCTGGAAGACTGTGCCGGCAAGGTTGGTTATGGTGGCGGTGGTGTGAGTGGTTACACTGCTTCACAAGTTTTGCCCAGGAGCTTCAGCGTCAACTCTTCGAGTTCTAACGACGATGAGGACTTGAGTCAGCTTCTCAGAACGGCGTCGTCGAAGAGAAGTAATGCAGAGAAAGAGAGAGTGAACAATAAGATTAAGTCTGTTGGGAGTTCAGATGTGCACAGAAGACCAATAGTTGGGCAACCCTCAAACACTATGAATGGAATGGGGATGAGGAGTTACAGTGTTGGGTTGAAGATGGGAAGAATTGATGAGGAGAAGGCTTGTTCTTTTAGGGAAGATGAAGTGGATGTGAAAGCTGATTTGTATCCGAGAAGCAGAAGTTATGCTGTTCGGAGAAGAGATGTTGGGTTTGCATAATTAGCCAGCCAAGGACTGATTTCTGGAATATTATTTTATTTGATGTAAAAAACACATGAGTTCATTCCAATTCTTTGTTTGATTTTTTATGCCAATTTATTTTCGAAAATGTAATTTACAGTGTTAGAGTTAATTTACCCTTATTGGCCATAAATTTATACTTTCTAATCCTAATTATATTATTTTCGTTTGGATTGATATTTGCCAAGATGTTAGTCAATTGTCCGAAAATGATGCCTAGTTCGGCCTGACCCTACTTTAGCAAGATGCAACAGAATTGTACTTTCTATAATATATATATATATATATATATATATATATATATAATTATCTTTTTGTTGGGTCAATATGTATTTTTAATTAATTATTTATTTTTATACAAATATATAATTACATACAAAGGATTAGAATATTTGTTACGAACTCGTCACTTCCTAGATTCAAACTTAAGATTTCTGCTTACAAATAAACAAGAATACTACTAAATTATAGTACTAGTAACATTATATTTTAATCGTTAACTTGAGTCTGATATATAATAGGAGGGGATCGAACCAATTGGGCCAAGCCTTCCTCCCCTATGTACGTTTTTCTAAGGGCCTCTCCTATTAGAAGTTATTGAGCGTGACAGTTATGTTGTCACCTAGTATTATTAATCAATGTGTTATAATTTTAGTAAACGATATGGTTGATATGTTATTAAATTAAGATATATTTTAATATGATATCTAGGATATATTATAAAAAAATGGACATTCATGCTCGTGTTATAACATGAGTAAATTAATTATTGCATGTAAATCGGCTGGAAAGAGCTTGGGTTTAGATTGAGTTTGACTTGTGTTTGGCTTGTCAAATCTCCTCTCGTGTAAGAACAAGCCGAACCTATATTCCGCTGGATATAAAACAAACCAAGCTTGAATGTTGATATGTTGGGCTTGTAAAGCTCGTGAACAACTTTTACAAAAGAGCTCAAACTGGATTCTATTAAATAACTTTTCTTGGGATAAAAAAAAGAAGGAACTTTAATGAAAAGCTCACAGTACTGTTCAATTGAATGAAAAATCACATTTTTACACTAAAAAGTCAATTCTGGTACTATTCATTTTACCATTTATTTTGTCCTTATCGTTAAAACTCAAATGATGTTTGAGATTTTGGTTTTAAAGAATTAAGTTTATATTTTATTCTAAGTTTAGATTAAGGATTGGTTTGGTATTGCTGTGCTCTAAAAAAAAAAAAAAAACTGATTCTGCTGTGCTATGAAAATAAGCTCATTTTTGCTGCTTCACATTTTCGGTTTTTTTTTTTCACCCAAAACTGTGAAAATAAGGTGTTTTTAAGTATTTATCAAACACATTTATGAGCTCAGCTTTTTTTATACCCATTTTTTATAAAAGCACCTCAATACCAAACTTGTTGATGCAAATTTTCGCCGTCTTCAGTCTTGACAAAAATGCACCTGCAAAACAATCAACACCTTTGATCAAAGACCTAAGCCTCACGCGCCCACAAGGTGGGAAGGGGGTTTAGGTCAATGGATCTCCAATGCCTAAGTTAGTTTCTCTAAGAGAGTAAAGTGTTTAGGGCTTTTTTAGGGTTGCCAAAACTCTCAAAATTTGTAGAATATGAGGTATTTATAGAGCTAGGGCCGGCCATATAGTGTTTAATGGAGATATATTCTCTAAATATTCCCAAGATATTAAATAGGAAATAATATCTTAAAATAATGGTGTAATTATCCTTAATTTATTTAAATTAGTATTGTTTACTTGATTGGAGTCAATCTTCAATTATAAATGTATTAAAGATAGGATTTGGGTAATTAATCATTATCTTTAATTCCTTGCCAAGGGCAGGTGAGCTGTGGGCAGTTGTGTTCAGATGCTAAGATCTCCAGGATGTGAGCTGTGCGTGGGAGCATCTGAGAAGTCTACCCAATTATTGAGGGCAATCTTGTCTTTCTTGATTAAAAGTCCACGTGTCGCCTCTAGAATTTTTGGGATTATTTTAGGCTCCACAAAACCAGTACTAATTATCTTCAATGGATGTGGATCCTCTCCTAAGCTATTGCCAGGGGATCCTAGGGATCAATTGATCCCAGCCCTTCAAATTGATCCTATGGCCAAGAAAAGCCAAGAAGCCTTCAAATTATTTCACACAACCCAAGGCAATTTTGTTTGCCTTTTATCCAAATCCCCCGCTCATAATCCACTTCTCTCTCCTCTCTCTCTGTCTCTCTTCCCTCTCTCTTTCTCAATCTGCTTGTTTGCGCCCCCTATTCCCGCTCCCCTAATCTCCAGTTTCCTTCCTCCGAAAAAAAAATTCCAATTCCTACATGCAATCTGGTGGCGGAGGAGGAAGCGGGCCCAGCCAGGGAGTGGGCCCGGCTGGCCATGCCGGATCGACGTCATATGCTGCTTCGCCATCTTCATCGTCCTCGGCAGTGTCGACATCGTAACTGGGTTTTGATTCGGTGCAGCATCAACAACATCAGCAGCAGCAATACAATTGGGGTCTAGACAGGTAATGATTGATATGTGTGGCTGGAAATTTGGTTTTTTTGTGAGAATTTAGTTGAATTGGAATGTAGGTTTTGGAATTTGGAATCGGATCCTTTCATGATCTCCAGCTTTATTGAATTTAGGGTCCATAGCTCTTTCTTCAAGTAGAGGAATTTATGGAATTTGTTTCAATTAGGGAGTAAAAGTCAGGGAAAAAGTCGAAATCAATCAAAAATTGTTACATGTATTTGATGCAGAAGTGGATTTTTTTTTAAGTTTTTTGGAAATTTGTGTTTTGATTTCAGTTAGAGGCATAATTTGTAGAAAAGATGGCTATGGTTGATGAAGCCTTGTATCCGATCGCTGTTTTAATCGATGATTTGATCCTATTCCATTATTTAATTGTAGTTGTTTGCCTTCTCATTACGCTTTCACTCTGGACACATGATCTTGTGGTTTGACCTGGCGGATTGGGTTGTAGAGTGTATATAATATGCCGTGGTAGTAGGTTCACAATTCAAAAGTTTCGTTATCTCTTTTATTTTCGTTCCAGTTCATAAAATGTAATTATTCACAAAATCCACTAGAACTTATATTTTGTTCATGTTATCCCTATGGGAATGCTCTACCTCAGTGTATTGGAATGACTTTTCTGTATTTCTCTCCATACATCATTTTGAATACAGAGACTTGTTGTCGGAGAGTGGTGTGATGTTCTGTGACTTATCTGTATTTCTCTCCAGGATAAGTCTTGGCGTGTTTGGGACATGGTCGCGAATCAATTATACGAGTTGTGTGACATTGTTGGTCTAGAAGCTACAAGGTAGTCAGTTTATTTTGTGGCTTGGCTTTTATTATGAATATTGTATTACTTGGATTAGGATGTTGTAATTATTTAAATGTGAATCAATTGTCCGATCTCTCTCTACCTATTTTCTTGAATTCTTAATTAATTGATGAGTGTGGTAATGTTGGTATATATTAGGTTGGACCTGGTGCCTTCATATGTTCGGCTTCAACGAGATAATGAGGCTGAAGTACGAATAGCTGCTGCAGGAAAGGTATCTAAGTTTTGCCGAATTTTGAATCTAGAACTTGCCATTCAGCAGATCCTTCTGCCCATAACCTTAACACCATGAAGTACTCTGTTTTATTGCTTGTACAGAGTACTCTTTTTTTTTTTTTTTTTTTTTGGTGTAACTGACTCTGTTGGAGCACATTATTTGAAGAATGAATCAATGAGAAGTAAAAGAAATTGGTACCACCAGTATGTTGTGGAATTGTACTCTATTCTTATCTGAATAGACATAGCTCTAAGGAAATATGCATGTAATATGGTTTCACTTCAAGAAGTAAAAGATGAACGTTAGGTAGACATTTACATAACCAACTGAGGTAGACATTTACATAACAAGTTATGGTTTACAAAAAACCTCTAGCTTTACATGCCTTAACTCATGCATTCTCTAGTGAGTTCCTAATACATTTGGATTTCTTAGTTCACTAAACTAACCCAAAAAACAATAGCTACACATCAGGAAATCCAATGATGACCAAAAAACAATAGCTACACATCTGAGAATCCTACCCAAAAAACAATAGCTATACATCTGGAATCTACCCAAAAAAATCTAGTGATGACCAAAAAACCCAAAACAGTAGCCATCTATTTAAGCATGACTATTTCCAATGATATTTTGATGAAGAAAAGGTTGGGAACTTGACGACTGAGATTCTTCACAAGGCAGCCAAGGCATTGCGTTCGACATATGCGTATTATGTGGTTGTAACTACATTCAACAACCATAATGAGATAAATATATATATGTATATATATATATATATATATATATATATATATATATGACACATATCAAATAGAGAGTGCAACTTGCAAATAGATGACAAACCTAAACATGATGATATGGAATTGGCATATAGGTATTATTACCAAACATGTGAACTGGGACCTGTATATCACATACCAATTTTGAGTGTATATTTGTCAACTAATCAAGCCTTGCTATGAAGATTAAAAAAACATTCAAAAGTACTTCACCTTTGATGAATGGGAGGGTGGCAGTGGATAAGGACTAAAGACATTGGTACCACCAGTATGTTGTGGAATTGTAACCTAAACATGTCAACGATTAGAAGTTTAATTACATATATTAAGCACATAGGCATGATAAAGAATTAAATGAGTTTAAGTACCTGATCAGACTTCTTTTTTCTTGGTAAGGCTTTTTCCAAAGCACTCCTAATTCTTCGTCTTCCTCGATGAAACTTTTCTTTCTTCTTAAGCCCTTTTGGAATGGCAACTTCAACATTCTCCAAGCAACTGGCCATTTGTCTATTACAATTGGTATGCATTTTCTCATGCACATCATCATTCACTTCTAGATGCAATAGGTCTTCAACCATTTTTGCCAATTTATTTGCTTGCTTAATCACCAGTTGGTATGCCTTTACATTTTCAGATGCCCTTATTGATAATCTAGTGAATATAGAACACAAGGACCTATATCTAAAAGCTTGCTACAATTTAGACTCCACTTCAATCTCACGCCCACACATGTCTACCACACTCTCAACTTTTGCTTCTTTAGTCCACCTGTTCAGTATATATTGTTCAGGAATTTCCTTGATAAGCATGGCTTCTCTAAGGACTTTAATAGCATGACTGCACAAAATACCTTTCATCTCAAATAGTCTACAGTTGCAAGAAACAGTAGATATACCTTGCCTTTTCACCTTACGCTTCTTGGACTTATCATCTAGTTCAACCGTGTATACAAAGTCATCCCCATCAGCAACACAATTTGTTATTGACAATTCAATAGATTATTCAAATTGATCTTGAAACAATTTGAATAGCGCTTTCGTGTAAACTTCTCTAGCTTGTTTCAACATTTTGATATAAAATTTGACATGTGCAATTCTGAATTGTAGGTCATACTCTGCTTCCCACTCCTTGTACCTAGTATCGGTAAGAACCCTCTCAAAGTTTGTGAAAAATTGAACAATATTGAGATCTGACTTCAAATAATTTTTCAATCTTGCATTATAACTTTCACTGATTTGTGTGCTTCATATTCCTATAGACCATGCCGATCTCACATATGCATATGCCCATTTCTTTCTAATCTTAAATGTGGTGGCCAACCAATCATTCTCATGTGCGTCATACTCATCAAGCATAGAATATTAAGCAGCTACAAACTCACTTTCCTCCTCAATGTGGTCAACAAATTTTGTCAAAGCATTGTGAACTCTTTCCTCACCTCTAAACAAAGTATTTAAATTTTTACAAGCATTCTGCATCAAATGCCATAAACAAAGTCTATGGTAAGTTTGAGGCATCACTTCTAAAATAGCCTTAGCCATCACAGGATCTTGATCGGTAAAAATAGTTCTTGGAGCCTTGCTAGACATTGCCTTCAAAAATGTCTTAAATAACCAACTAAATGAAGCAGCGGTCTCATCATACATTAAAGCTGCTCCAAATACAACGATCTCCTTGTGATGATTAAAGCCAACAAACACTGCAAATGGTCGATCCAATTCATTGACTTTGTAAGTTGTATCAAAACTTACAACATCTCCAAAATGGATATAATCAATTATCATTTTAGCATCTGCCCAAAAAATGTTTGTTATTTGCTCCTCTTTGTCCAAGTGTAGTTCATAGAAGAATGATGGGTTTTCCAATATTTGTTTGGAAAAGTATTGTAGCAAGACTCCAACTTCTCCATATGCCATTTTCTTTTGCCTCACAGTTCGAAGATAATTTTTTTGATCTTGCTTAATATATCCTAAAGACTCTCTTCCACCTGCTTGTTTGCTTATTAACTCATAAGCCAACCTTAATGGAATCCCCGATTCTTCAGCTAAGTCTACTTCAGTGGCTTGTGAGGCTGTCATTTTCCGTTGGGATGGTAACATATGAGCATATTATTTCTTTACCAGGGGATGATTATGTTGTTCAACAAAAGTATAAACATAAAACTTTCCCGTATGCCTATCCAACCTAACACCCATATGAGCACCATATCCAGTCATCGTCTCTGCTCTTGGTCTTTTAATCATATCATTTCGCTTATCTACAACTCGAAACCCTTCTTTAGCACAAGAAAAGATTCTTGAAGTGAGTTCACCAGTTTTTTTATTCTTGCCAGCACTTTCTTTTCTAATACTAAACCCCATAATTCCACCATACTTGTTGTAGAAATCATATGCTAGTTGGTCAGTATCAAACTCCATATTTTTTGTAGGTTTCAATTCCAAAGTACCTTCTACGCCATCATGCGGTTTATCCATTATATCATTCACTATCAAATCCTACCACAAAAATATACCAAGATTCAGACAACTTCAGCTCAATGAAAAAAACCAAATTTTCTACAGAATCAATGCAACATCCCCTCTTTTTCAGACATAAACATGCAGCAAATCCAATATAATTGCAAAAATATCATGAAAAGGAAATTCAATAATGGAAGCCTAACCTTTATTATTGAAGACCAGTGGCAACCCCGTTGATGTTAATCGACCAAAGCAAGACGATGATTTCTTATTATTTTAGCTGGGAGCAGTGATGTTGTTCTACCAAAGCTATTGTCATTGCCACATTGTTTATAGCGAAACCCTGGCAGAGATTTGCCTCACATATCAACCTGAGCCTGTCTAACCCATATCGATCTGCTGCTGCAAGCAGATGCTGAGCCATCAAAGTGGAAGCCCCATTGGAGTTAATTCCAGTAAGCTCTTCTATGTCAGGCAGTGAGTCCCAATATAGAAAATGAAGCAACGCTTGCAGAAGGACAAAATTAATGAGTGGCCAAGGATACACTTGAAACTAGTTGTATATGTCGTATTAGTCTTTGAGACACTCGGTGATTAAAGAAAAGTTAAGGGGAGAGCGCGGATAAAATATACATGAAAACGGTCCCAAGAGGATGGTTATGATTCACCAATTCTCTAACTTCACATGACATCACAAGAACCACAAAATTAGAGAAGAAAACCACATCGTCAACCTATCTTACATTTCTAATGAAGGAGGATAAGCACTACATGTAAAGCATAATAAACCCCATGAAAAATTGAATCTTACTACTTCTTGCTAGGGGACATTATACCACTTAATACCAAACAAAACAAATCATTACTGCAATGCAATACAGATTACTGACATCAATCATGCAATCCGCTAGCGATATTGCAGCTAAAGCATAGTAAACATGAGATCTACAACAACATCTCCTCTTTTTCAGACATAAACATGCAGCAGATCCAATCTAATTGCAAAAATATCATGAAAAGGAAATTCAATAATGGAAACCTAACCTTTATTATTTGAAATTGCGGCTTGGTGCGGCGAGGGCGTTCACGGCTGCTGATCAAACTCGAAGACAGAGACAACCCAGAAAAAATGATGTGATGAGAAATGCTCAAAGCACCAGAACGGGAGAGAACTTGAGCTTATTATGGTACTTTTCGGAGGAAGGAGAGGAGATGCAGGAATTGGATTTTTTCGGAGGAAGGAAGCTGGAGATTAGGGGAGCGGGAATATAGGGCGCAAACAAGCAGATTGAGAGAGAGAGAGAGAGAGAGAGAGAGAGAGAGAGAGGAGAGAGAAGTGGATATTGAGCGGGAATGGTAGAAGGCAAACAAAATTCCCTTGGGTTGCGTGAAATAATTTGAAGGCTTCTTGACCTTTCTTGGCCATAGGATCACTTTGAAGGGTTAGGATCAATTGATCCCTAGGATCCCCTGGCAATAGCTCAGGAGAGGATCCACGTCCATCTTCAATTGACCTTTCGTCGTAACACGGAGCTTGATATACTATATCCCCTATAAAATATATAAATAAAAGAAAACTTATGTGATCGTCCTTAAGTACTATATATGAATTTTTTTTTGTTATATTGTTTGTATATTATATATTCTATTAGTAAAATGTGTTGCCAAATTGCAAATTTGTGTTATAATACCAGACCATCTTATTTATAATAAATAGCTCGATACAACTTAAGTTCGTTGTTGAGCTATAAATTTTAAGGCTCGGCTAATAGAAGAAGGAAGCCAAGCAAGGCTAATGTTTGGAAATTAAATTAAGTAAGTCGAACTTGAGCAAAGTGAAAATCTGTTTGGCTCGGTTTGTTGCTGGCCCTACAATGTGATAGTCACACTAAAAAAAATTATTTTTCGTTAGAAACTAAGAAGTAGTTAATTAGATGAAGCTTTTGATTACACTGTTATTGTAAGTATTTTATTTATTTTTTTTGTTACAAAGGGACCCAAAGTCCAAGCAAAACCACTAAACAAGGAAGAACATCAGCCCAAAAGGCTTACACAAATAGCCTGAGTCCTAGCAACCCCAGAAATATCATCTAGAAGTAAGCCACCAACTAAAGGAGGAGGGTCATCTAACATAACTTAGCCTAAGTCCAAAGAAAAACTCAACTTTGCCAAACCATCATCACCCATATTCCTTTCCCTATAAATATGACTTAAATCACATTGATCAAATTGAGTAACCAAGTGATTACAGCCATATACCAAAGAAGCCAAGGGATGCAACTCATGCCTAGTACATTTGACGAGTGACACTAAAATAGTAGAGTCAAATTCCACAAGTATTCTCCTAGCACCCTTTTCCAAAGCCATTTTCAAACCTAGAAAGAGATCCTACAGTTCAAGGTCAAGGACTTCTCCTACTTCCATATAAGCTGAAAAACCCCCAATCCAAGAGCCTTGATGATCACTAAGTACTCCTCCTGAACCAATAGCATGGTTTTTCCCTTTGCGAGAACCATCAATATTCAATTTCAACCATTCCTCGTTTGGAGAAACCCAAACCAACTTTTCAAGAATTTTGCGAGACTTAGAATGACAAACCTTATTAGCATCAGTCCACTCCCAAGCATACTTTAAAATAGTGTTTACAATGTCCAAGGAAGCTTGATAGGATGGATTGAAGACAATACAATTTCTCCACATCTAAATATGCCAACACGCAAACCAAAAAAGATTACACCATTCCAACCCTTAGTGACTGGGAGTTTTATAATGTATGTTAGTAGCAATCCATCCTTCTAGGTCTAAATTGAAAGTAGAGAGGATATTACTAGAGCACTCATTCAAAAGATGAATTAAATTTTCAACAGGACCACTGTATATAGAACAACTAGTATCCAAATTCATATTTCTCTTAAATGTTGGTTAGTTAGAATATTATCTCGAGTGACCAACCAAGTAAAGACCTTTAATTTTTTGTGGTACGTGTGGAACTTCCAAAGTGGAAGCCAAAGAGATTTAGGGAAACTCTCAGAAGGAAAGAACAACTCATAAGCAGATTTAACACTAAAAGTACCTTATTAATGAGTGAGATTCAAACTTTTAAAAATAATAATAATAATAAAACCTGCTTCCAAAATGTCCTAGATCAAATACTAATACTAATTGATACTTCATATTTGTTTTTTGTGCATAATTTTCACATTATGGTTTCCTATACCCAATGAAGGTATGACTTAGGAAAGAGATCATCTTCGGATCTCTTCTCCCAAAGTCACTAGATCAAGTGATTTGGGTCTTTCAAATTTCATTCAACGACAAAAAATCATCACAATTTTTAAGGAGTCAAAACAGATAAACCGTTATTTGGTGCCCTTGATAGAAGAGATCCGGTGAAGACCTCTTTCCGTATGACTTATAAAACAAAAGATTTTGTGTCAGAGAAACAAAAACATCACAAAATACTAGTAGAACAATAGAAAAAGGCCAAACCTCAACTTTGGGAAATTGGGAGGGTCACCTTTACCCAACTTTGATTAATTTATTATATCATATGCTTTGCTAATGTTGTTTTCATTTAACACCATTCTAATATATACTATACATATATTATATGCTTTGCTCATGTTATTTAATGACACTCTTCTTCACTTGTAAATAAGAAGTTTTATATTCGATTCTCGCCAAAGGAGATTTTGAACCATATTATTGTTAGCTCATTGTGAAGCTAAACTCACCCCTCTTCCTCTTAATATAGATTATATCATTTTTTATATGTATGTGAATGTATGTGTGTGTGTATATATATATATATATATAAACTACACATATTCCGATCAATAAAAATATACCGTACAAATATTTTAGTACCTTTCACATGTCCCATTAGATTTAGAACGTTGAAGAAGTCCACCCGTCACTATTAGTGACTTCTCTTCTCTTCGCCTTGCCGTCCGTATGGATTACTTCTACAGTTGTCCTGCCTACTTCCAAGAAACTGTTGGAAAATATTAGTATTTAGGTTTATTTTTAGTATTTAGGTTTTACTTGTTAATTTAGGATTTGGGCCTAGCCCATCCGAGTTATGATTTCTTAAGTTTAGTTCTCTATAAATATTGCTTGTAATTTAGTTTCAGAATAAGTCAGTCACAATGCAGCCTCTTAGGGTTTGTAGCCGTTTCGGCATTCTCGTTTATTTAATAATATTCTTATTATTTTGTAATCTTGTTCGTTGTGCACTCTGATATTCAACTTGGTATCAAAGCAGGTTTGATCCTTTGGGATTTAATCAGCTTCGGGTTGGTATCTGTTTGCTTGTTTCCGTTGTCGTTCGTGTTCAGATTGTTAGTTGGTATTAATTGTTTGCTAGAAGAAAAAAATTGTTTGTTCATTTTTTGTCCCGTGACTCTGCTTCTGCACCTTTGAACACCGCAGCCTGCAGAAGTATCCGCAAGTCTGTATTGCTGCAAAGGAAAAAAGAGGAAAAAGTAGAATGGAATGAAAAAAGAAAGAAAAAAAGGGGGAGTAAAAAAAAAGGAAGAAACAAGAAAAAATTGGTTGCTTGTTTGAAGCCCATGTGGGCAAAGGGAAAAAAAATTTGGTTGGATTTTTTGTTTGTTTGTTCGAAAGTTGGCATCAGCATCGGTATTGACATCGGTATTGGCATCGGCATCGGCATTGGAATTTGGAATCTTGCACTTGCACCAATGGAATTTTGTATTGAAATTGGCATCGGAAGTTAGCATAACAAAGCTTGCATCCACATCTACTTTGGCAAACTCATGTCGTGTACTACCATGAGTTTGACGGGAGGTGTTGGAAAATAATAGTATTTAGGTTTATTTTAGTATTTGAGTTTAGCTTGTTAGTTTTAGGATTTTGCTTGTAATTTAGTTTGAGAATAAGTCAGTCACAATGGAGCCTCTTAGGGTTTTGTAGCCGTTCCGGCATTCTCGTTTGTTTAATAATATTCTTATTATTTTGTAATCTTGTTCATTCCGCACTCTGATATTCAACTGAAACAAGTCCAAAACTCAGATCCCCTAACACCTTTATATATCCACACATATCAGGAACTCTCCTTCATCAGCTCACAACAACATTTTCCATTCTCTTTTCTTTTAGTATTTGAGTTTAGCTTGTTAGTTTTAGGATTTTGCTTGTAATTTAGTTTGAGAATAAGTCAGTCACAATGGAGCCTCTTAGGGTTTTGTAGCCGTTCCGGCATTCTCGTTTGTTTAATAATATTCTTATTATTTTGTAATCTTGTTCATTCCGCACTCTGATATTCAACTGAAACAAGTCCAAAACTCAGATCCCCTAACACCTTTATATATCCACACATATCAGGAACTCTCCTTCATCAGCTCACAACAACATTTTCCATTCTCTTTTCTTGTTTTCAGCCAAACCCCAATATACAAAATCCAGATCAAAGTTATGACGACGAGCAAAGCAGGTTGATGTAAATTATTTTTGCACCCATTAGGACCTTAACCAAGGCCATGAATTTTTACATGAGGGGTCTGGAGGATTGTGCCGGAAAGGTGGGTTAAAGTTGTTGCGGTGTGGGTGGTTACACTGCTTCACAAGTTTCACATTTGCCAAGGAGCTTCAGTGGCAATTCTTCGAGTTCTAACAGCGATGAGGACTTGAGGCAGGTTCTCAGAACAGCGTTGTCGAAGGGTAGTAGTGCAGAGAAAGAGAGAGAATAATAAGGCTGCATCAGTAGAGAGTTCAGATGTGCATAGAAGACCAATTGTTATACAACCCACAGACACCATGAATGGAATGGGGATGAGGGGTTACAGTGTTGGGTTAAAGATGGGAAGAATTGATGACGAGACGGCTTGTTCTTTTCGAGAAGATGAAGTGGATGTGAAGGCTGATTTGTATCCGAGAAGCAGAAGTTATGCTGTTAGGAGAAGAAATGTTGGTTTTGCTTAGGAAAGAGGCGGTGTGAGGGGAATTGAACCAATGTTCTCTCCATCCAACCCATTGTTTATTTTTTCTTTCATTGCCAATCGCTATTTGGAAATGAAATTTATGGAGTAAAAGTTAATTTAAATTTTCCTGAACCTGATTATATTAATTTCTTTTGCCATGGTTTTTCTAAAATGGAAGTCAACCACTAAGAAAAAAGGTTGGACTTTGAATTGACTCATTGAAAACATCCAACAAGTCGTTAAGGCTTAAGCAGTAAGCTGGGTTCTCACTCACGTAATCACATCCAACCAAACAGAAAAATAATGCTCACAAACACAAAATCTTGCATCAATTTTGATGAACTTTGCAAAAGGCATCGCTCCTTTGGCAAATAAGCTATATCACGAAAAAGTCCTCATAACTCTTTGCCAAGCAAACATACACCAAAACCACACGCAAAAAAAAAAAAAAAAAAAGTAACATAGCATATAAAACTAACTCCTCATAAGTACGATTTCTTATTCACAGAACACCCACACTTAACTAACATGAAAAATAAGCTTACAAAGCCTAAACCTTACAAGTCAAACCCAACACCGTTAAGACACACAAGATAAATATTGTACGTACCATCAACTGGAGACCTAGAAATGACAAACGACAAGAAAACATGGGTATGAATTCCTCAAACTATTGCAACGGCGCCATGACGAAAAGACCGCACCACTCCTTTATGATTTTGGAATCGTTAGGAGAAAACCTACCATGAATCATCTGTAAGGTTTTCTCAAATAATGTGAGTTGTAACAAAACCATGTTATTGTATATGTTATGAAAATTTAATGGACTTATATTATTTATGGACTTGTAATATGTGTTTTAATCATGATAAAACACTTAAAAGGGAAGTAACTACCACACAAACTCAAGAGGATGAGTAAGCTAAAAACTCTACTCAACGTGGCATAACTGCACCCATGATGGATGGAACAGTTATGGCTTTGTGCGATAAAACTGCTGCATGGTCTCTCTTCTCGGACACCAGTTCATTTTGATACAATCTCCATCATTTGCAGAACATACTCGAGTCCCAGAGAAAAGAAGAACAAGGCCTTCATGCACCACAAGTTTTTGCAGTAAACCTGCTACTGCAAACCATAGTTTCATCGGGATCATATCGTTCCTTACTTTCTGATCATTATGGCAAACTCAGAAAGTAAGTGTTATGTGTTCCCATTAGTTTATATTAGTGTAATCACTCCAATCCTTCATATTGACATGTAGTCCAAATATTAGGTTGATTAAATTTTAGTTCCACATATAAAGTTTTACATCATCTCCAACAAACGTTGATGTTTCTCTTCATACATTCTTGCCAAGCGCAGGAACTACCAAATCACCACCTCATATATGAACAATAATTGTCGCTCAAAGATATGGAGGGTGCCACAACCACAAAGGCTCTTCCCGGCAGAGCGAGAAAATGACCACTACCGAAAACATGAAGAAGAGAAGAAAGAACAATAAGGATTGCCCCTAATTTCAAGACTAAAGGATGAAGTCGGGGAAACTAGATTTTCTCTATGGTTTTTCTCTTTATATCGGCTAGTGTTTATTTACTTGACCAATTTGCAATATTAAATTTCACGTGTTCAAATTACGTAGTCAATAGCTTAAAGAGAAATAAAAGAACTAAACTTTATAAGGAATTTCATGGGTTAACACAAATGACTTGTTTTTTAGAGGTCACTGATGGGTCCACTCATTATCAACATGAAACATTAAGTCTCCACTTTAACACTTAATCTTAATCTTTTGTGCATGTTCGGGTATGATTTTCTACTAGTTTAGTACTAATGTGCTTTTAAAAAAAAATTTATTTTTGTTATGTTGTAAGAATAAATAGTTGTAAAAATAAAGTAGTTGAATGTTTGCTTAACCATCTAAACGTCTTTCACAATTTTGGTATATTATGTTTTCTTATCATTGTTTTTCCCACTTGATGAAAGACTAGGATCACTTGTAGACATGTGTTAAGCCATTTGGAAGAGTGTGCTTACTTTTTTGCACTCAAGTTTGAATTCTCCTAAATTAAGTTGAAGTCATATTTGACTCTAAATATGGTACGTACTCAAGTTATAACATTTCCAATGCGTACAAAGTCATATTATGGCGGGATTACAAATAAGGGGTTCCAATCTAATTTCAAATGCATACATGAATACGCCTACAAAAAGTTAACAATTGAGTCAGCATTATTTGCAAAGCAATGCTTGGATACTCAAAGATGAGAAGGATATCATATTCAAAAAAATATGTGCTTGATTCATAAAACTTTGTGCTTATAATCAGAACGATTCAATAAAAACCATCTCTACAAAAAATGAATTGTAACTAAGTTTATTAAGTCGATTAACTGTAGTAAATAAATAAACGGTTCGTAATGTTTTTACCATTTTCGTCCATCTGTTCTTATACCATTCGATGACTAAACGACCTTAGTTTTAATTAATTTTTTGCAGACTTGATCTTTATAGAATGATTTATAATATGGACAGTTCTGATCATAAACATGAAAGTCTCTAAATTAGAAACAAAAAACTTTAAATAGGAGCTCCTACTCATTTTTTGAGTAATGAAGTATTGCATTTGTGAAGTATGAGCGTTGTTTGGGGTTGGTATTGAATGATGTGTGATATAATATGAGATAATCTTGTAGTGACAAGTGTCACCATCTGGTTGACTTAGTTAGTAAGGTAGCTTACTTATTAAGCTACCTAGTATACTATAAATACTAGATAAGAAGCATTTTGTAATAACTGTCCTTGTCTTAATACAAAAGCTACATTGCATTTCTCTCTATCAGTTTACATTTTCTTCTTCGAGCTTTTGCATTTTTGGGTTGTTGTCATGGTATCAAGGTAGGTTGGCCCACGTGTAAAGCTCAACGACCACACGTGCTCCACGTCATTCAATTCGTATTGTCCACTTGTTTGACTTGAAAATTCGCCACACATGAGGGGACGTGTGAGAATGTGAAGGTAAAAGAGTCATTCATTGGTGAAAGGGAAAACTTTACATGGACTTATAAGAGCAGTTCCAGCTTTGGCTGGTGCTCGGGGGAAAGGCTAGTGAACAAGGTCGTAGAGCCCGAGTGTGAGAGTCCACCGTGTGGCAGCCCGAGGGACAGGCCCCGCTCGAGGGAGGGGCCTGGCAGGAGTTGCCAGCCCGAGAGCCCGAGGGCTTTATGACGCACGGCTAACGTCACCCAAACGTCAACCACTTTTTTTATTTTTTTTTTCTGTTAGGTGCTTGCCCCTCAAGCGCGAGTATGGGCACGTGGGCCGACAGGATTTCAGGAATTGGGGCCCGTGACCCACTGAAAATTGTTCGTTGGGAAGCCACGTGGCTTCCCACGATCTGTTCGATCTCAACGGCAAAAAATTTTGGACCAGAACGTGCGTCGCGCAAACCCGTTATTTTTGTTCTGGTCAAAATTTTTTTTTTTAATTTTTAATAAATATTGTAATTAAATTCTAAACAATAATTAATTAACCAAGCAAAAGTATTTAATTATAAAATATATGAAAATGTACATACAAGATGTTGAAACAAAAAAGAAAAAAAGTACAAGTAGTCTTCTAGGTTTGATACATTAAGCTACTGGGTATCGACAGGGCGAGGTGGCTCTGAGATCGAAGGTGGAGCAAGATGAAATGTTGTTAGCAAGATTTGGAGGCCGGAGAAGTAGCCTCAGTAAGGGGTGTAGGCTCCCCAATCAAAGGAGTACTCACAGCTGGAGCAGTAGATGCTGATAATGCGGAAGGCACATTGGTCACACTCCGACGACGAGTGATCAACTGCAACATCTATACACTTTTTGAACCATAAAA